AATGGACCCGTTGCTCGAAAAGGGGGTTAGCAGGAGGGGCAGAAACCTCCTGAGGACCTCCCTGACCCATGGAATGGAGGGCCAAGAGAAAGGCTCTGCAGGACGGACAAAGATAAAGCGGTCGATCCATTTAGGAAGGTTGGAAGGGACGTCGTTGATGAAATGGGCACCATTACGGCTCTTTAAATACAGGCCTCGACCTTGTTTAGAAGGGGCATAACAGTAATGGAAGAAGGCAAGGTCGAATCGACCAAGGCGGACATGGCAAAGAATGACAAAGGTGGTCATAAAACGGATGGCGTTAGGGGGAAGTTGATGAAGAGGAAGTCCGAACCACTCGCAAATCTGAAGAAGATCAGGACTAAGAGGGAAACGAAGACCAAGTTTAAACTGGATTTCGAAGAAAGTGTAGCAATCCTGCGGAGGATGGTCGAATTTGTCAGAGGGAGAGGACCTGAAGAACGCCCAACCAAGTGGTTGGCCGATTTTTTCGGGTTTGAACCAAGGGTGAGAAAGAGAGGAAGAAGAAGTGCGCTGAGACAGTTTTTTGGTCGAGGATCGTTTGGGAGGAGAACTCGAAGAGGGAGGAGCAGTGGGCGGCGAAGAGTTGACTTCGTCCTCCTCTGGCTCGTCTAACGCACCAAGGGGAGGTCGACGTTGGCGGAGAGGAACGTTATCCATACTATCACCGGAGTTCGGAGAAGCGACGCGGGCGGTAAAAACGCGGGTGGGAACTGTATCGCCGGGGCGAAGGATAGAGAGGGGGACGGCTTCGAGCGCAGAAGGTAGTATTTCAACTGAACCAAAGGAGGTTTCAGTGTCTGAAAAGAAAACTAAAACAAAAACAAAGAGAACAAATATCAAAAAGAAGCGGTCGCAAGGAAGAAAGAGGGGAGAAGAAGATTAGGGTTCTTACGGGAGAGCAACCCAAAAATCAGGAGAAGAATTAAGAAAGTAAAGGGGCGGAAATTTCAAAGATTTTCAAAGGAAATACAAAATCCCCAACATTCAATAGACAAACAAGAGTATCCCAAGCGCAAATTCAACACACAACAAGCCGATTTGGGGCGATTCAACAGGCAGATCGAGAACACCCAACATTGAAAATTCAAAATACACAAAATAGAACTACAAAGAATATAAATTCAAGCTCAAAGAGACTTACTCATAACCGCGGATGGATAATTGAGGAAGGATTGAAGGGGCGCAGGAGAAATTGTCGAGAAAATAAGAGCTTTCGTAGAGGAAAATTCTGGGCATAAAGCAATTGGAAAACTGAGAAGGTGGAAAAAGTTGGAAAATACGCCAAGTATGGAATTTATACTCTGGGGATTGAAGGGTGGAAAAATAAGGGTCGTCAGATTGAAAGGTAAATCCGACGATGGGGAGTATTAGTTTGCACGGAGCTCAAAACGGACGCGATAGGCAAGGAGGCGCAATAATTAAAGCACCTGACACATCCGACAGTCGTGACGCGTGGCAGAAAACGGATGTGACAAAAAGGACTTAAAGCGGATGACTTTATTGCTAGGGATTAATGGAGAATTATTTGAAAAAGTGAGCGGGAAGCTTACCAGCTGGTCGATATCTAACGACGAACCATCCAGAAGGACGATAAATGCTAATTCACTCTTAGATCGAATCATTCAGACTCGACCAGAGTGGGGGGGACTAGATGATATGGGATATTATACCCACAAGGCTGAACCGGTCTGTTGACCGGTCGAGGAGGTCATATTATGAGGAAGCCAAAGAAATCGAGCAATTAACTAGTCGACCAAGCAAGGCTGTCGACCGAACTATCCTTCGACCAGATACGCGATCGAGCAATTTATTCGACCTCAGCAGGTCGATCACTTCGAGGACTTAACACCACACTGTTCGACCTAGTCACAGGCGCATGAAGGAAGCCTCTAACAGAATTCCAGGAGAATATTTACCCCATGTGCAGGGGGACACGTGTCGAGAAAGCAGTGGTGGATAGCGATAACCACCTCTGAC